TGTGACCAGTATTATGCCCCTGGACACAAAAGCTGATAGGACACGACTGAGGTTATGGAAGGAAAGATTACATGCAATAAGGTGCCCTAAAATGGATCTGGAACCTCAGGAGGACCTTTCCAGAGGGGCTGATACATACTGCTCATTATGGTGATGCCTGAAACCCCTGTGTACACAAACTGCAAGGTCAAAAACAAATATGATCAAATGGGGCTACTGACACAAATATATGTGAATGAGGTGAAGTCCAGACCATGAAGCACCTAACTCATTTACTGATTCCTTGATGAGACCTGTCTTAAGGAGGACCTTGCTGTAGCAGTAGAAAGAACTATCATTTGTGCACATTTCTGGAAAGACATAGTTTATGACAAGGACGCAAGAAGAAGAAACATCTGCTAGTATTTTGGTTCCTTGAAGAAAATGTATATTGAAACACCCTTCCAAAAAATAAAAAAAATAATCAAGCTTTCTGTAATTATATCTTGTCTGAAAAACAGATAAGCATGACAGCTATGAAATTTTCAGAGAAAAATATTTTTGAAGTAGTGAAATTATTATAAGCCTGAATGACTGCCTTCTTCTAAATTCCTTGATTTCTAAATATGTCTTTCCCTGGAATATTAAACAGGGTGATCTCAAAAGGCAATCCAATTAAAAGTTACTTTAGATACAACAGAATGACTTTGCATTCTGTTGTATCTAAAGACATCCCTTAAAAACGGTGGATTTAATAATGTCTTTGGCCATTTACAGCAGAAAAAGGTGAACAAAGAATAAATTAAAGAGAAAGACCAGAGAAATGCAAATGCAAAGTACATAAAATACAAGCCATTCTACATCAGATCTCAAGAATGTCTTGCATTTAAAAAGTTTTTGTGACTTCATCCCAACCATGCAGTTGGTCCAATAAAAGATATCAACCAAAAACATTTTTCTCTCCATTCTGCCTTTCAAAAACAAGGTGCATATCTTATTTTAGGGCTTACTGTATGTGAGAAAGTACAGTAATCTAACCAACCCACTGGTGGTTTCCTTCTACATCTTCCTTTACTGGTAAAAGGCAAAAAAAAAAAATATAATAAAAAGACTTAAGCCAGGACTGTCAAACTCTTTTGGCTCCACAGCACCACAGGGCTCCTTGCAGGCCAGATAGGAAGAGGTATGGTAAACAGCAACAATGGCATTAATGTCCACGGCTGCTTGACCTTCTATGTCAGCTCTGGGACCTGTGAAAGTTAATGCTGCTGTCGCTTGCCCCATTGCCAAAATCCTGGCCCCATCCACGAGCCCAACAAGCTGGATAAAAAGCCTGTATCCAGCCTACAAGCTGTATATTTGACATGCCTAAACTAACCAATTCCATGCAGTGATTTTCTGGCTAGCTTAGATCAAATGCTTCCCCATCATGCCAACAGATATGAAATGGGATCTAAGCTCTGTGTCTTAATGATTTATCTGCAGAGATCCCCTTTTGGAGGGCTGGTCATTTTATTTTCATATTTTTCCCAGAGAACTCCAAATTATATGAAGTCAGTTTTATTTCAAGCTCTGTCACAGACCTATTGCAACACCTTGGACAAGTCAGTAGGACCTGTTTCCTCAAATATGGCTCTTAATTTGAGTGCCTCAACATTTAGCTTGATATATATGGGACCTAAGCACTGGCCATTACATTTAGATTAGTAGGACCCCAGAGAGTCAAATCCAAAGTATATTCACTTGGATAGCTGAACGTTACTATAGGCAAAATTAGGAGGTACTTTTGAAAATGTAGGCCTCCATTTTGGCATCTCTGTAAGCAATCTGTACTCTCTCTCTCTCAAAGGATTTCCAAGGCTAATATCAGATGTGTAAGGTGCTTGCACGTGGCCAGAAGCGCAGCCTGGTAGGTTTTTCAGGTTCTTTAGATGTTTCAGAACTATGAAGGTTTTATTATTATAAAAGTGTTATTTTCACGGATCTAGGTTTTCTCTGTTTAAAAATCCCAAATTCTCTGGTTTAAAAAAAATACTAAGCCCTCCGATTAAAAAACCAAAATCCATGTTTTTTCATGATTCAAATGAAACACCACTATATATATAGGTATCAGTTGAACACAAGCTGGCACAGGGCTCCCGGGGGCTGTGGCACTGAGCCTCCCTGCCCCACTCTGTCCTCCTGTGCCATGTCCTGCTCGCTGGGCTCCAGAGGTCCCAGGGGGAGGGCAGCAGGGCGAGGAGCCCTAAGCCTGCAGCAGGTAGACTGCATCCTCCCCCACCCCGTGCACAGATCGGGGGGGGGGGGGAAGAGGGGTACAGGTGCCCCCTCACATGGCCCCCTCCCCAGGAGTGCGCATAGCAGCAGGGAGTCAGTCCCACCCCTGCCAGCCACCTGCACAAGTCACCCATGGCTCCATACTGCTCCCTGAACTGGGACACATGGCCACACATTCCTGCCCCAGAGCCAGCCCACGCACACAGCCCCAGCTGAGCAGTACACCAGGCCCAGCCTTGGCCCACTCATTCCCTTACCGTGGCCATTGCTTCCTCAATCTGCACCCCCCCACCGCTGCCCCAAGACAACCTATGACCTCCCCCCACCATAGACTTACCTGCAGGCAACTGGGGTAACTGCTCTCCACTGCTGCCTGGCTGCATTGTTGCTCATGTGCATGTGTGCGTGTGCACACATGTGCATACAGAGCCCCCTGCATCCCACTCCCCACAGCCCCAAGCAGTACCTCACAGGCTAGAACTCTGCTGGTTTGCAAGGGGAAACCAGTGGTTTCCCGTGTTTTTCTCCTTTAAAGGAGAAAATCTGCATTTTTCCATGGAGAACAGAAAACCCAGATCCCTGATTATTATAGAAGAGCTTACTTAGGTTTTTAAAACTAAGTGTTTTATACCACCTTAAAACATTCATCTGACAATCAATTAGTTGCTATGGGTGGCTCCACTGGTGTTTCTTTAAATTAGCACACAATATAACACTTTCAGTTTTATCTAGGGGTGTACCAATCGAGATTTTCTTGGCCAATATCAATAGGTGATTATTCACCATGCATATGGGCCAATACTGATCTGATAAACAATTTACAGGAGCACAGCCAGGCAGTGTGGAGATCAGGGTCCTGCAGGTAAGCCTTGCAGAGGAAGGGGCATGGGGGTGGGAAGGGCATGGGGGTGCTGATTGAGGTCCCCATGGTGAGGGAGGGAGTGGGCAGGGGTTGGGGGTGGTGCCCAGCTAGGGTGGTGAATGGGACCCCAGGGCCAGGACAGGAAGTGAACAGGTTAGATGAACAACTTGCTGGGGTCATTTAACCCCAGTACTCTTTCCTACCATGGCAGGGGTTCAGACTAGATGATCTTCTCAGGTCCCTTCCGACCCTAGAAACTATGAAACTATGAACAAATTATAGATAAAAAACAAATCATATGCTAAAAATAAGAAAATTACAACATATTTTAATTTTATTTGAAAAATATTTTTGTCCTGAGTTATGGTTTTTTTTTAATAGTGTGTATAAAGGTGATTGCATAATAGCTCAAAATAAAGTCTCCCCCCGAAGGGAACAAAAACAGGCAGCAGGACACTCAGCTAAGGATGTCCCCACCCTCAGCAGAGCCCTCCCAAAATCACCAGGGAGCTCCTGCTCAGCCTGCACCACAACACACACTCTCAGGAGCTGCCTGCATCCCTAACCCACCTGCCTCCTACCACTTTCTGTCCACACTTGCACCTGTCCCCCCAAAGGCTGGAGAAGCCCAGCAGCCTCCTCCAGCCTCTCAGCTGCCTCTCAGGACTGCGCCCACCAGCAGTCCCTCTGCCCCCAAAAGGAGTGCTGGGGTCAGCCTCACCTGGGAAGATGGGACAAAAACCAAACTGGCTGGGCTGGCTCGCAGCAGTGCATGGGGCAATGTAGGAGGTAGGGCCAGGGCTAGGGCTTCACCTGCCAGGAGGTGCCAGGGAAGCTCCACTGCCTCGAGGCACAGGTGCAGTGTGCCTGCTGCATGATTCTAGCACCCGGGGCGGCTTCTGCCAGCTCCAAACCACAGACAGGTGGGGGCACTGCCAGCCAAGGCCAAGCAGGGGCACCAGGGCCTGAGTGCAGTTTGCCCAGGGCCTGCTGCACACAGTCTGGCAGAGTTCTGCTCAGCGGCCCCTGTGGTGCTAGTAGAGGCCAGAGCTGAACCCACCAGGGCCCAAGCATGGCTTGCCAAGGGCCTGTTGTGCAGTGCCAGGCCAGCAGGTGAGTGAGGCTGGAACTGCCATCTGTACTGCCTGCCCATGGGACACAATCAATTGGTGGGGCAGATATGGCGCACAGGCTGTATTTTGCCCACCCATGTCATGGTAGTTCATACCTCAGGAAAGTTAAATAGTTAATATATTTCCTATTGTTTGCTACTGTGCAATTTCTGCACATTAAATCCACATCGCCTGAATTAGTGATTTGGTAGACTTAAACAGCCAACAACAGGGGTGGGAAATACTATTAAAGATGTCACCTTCTTTCAACAAAATTCAGAGATACTCTGGTTGCTGCTTAACTTCTCTTAACTGTCCTCCAGCTTTTACACTTACAGCTACCGCTTTGGTTCCATCATGAGGACAGCGCTAAGGTCACAATTTGACCCTATTAATGCTCCATTAATGGATAAAGGCCAAGATACAGTGTGTGAGAAAAGAATGTGCTCCAGCAGCAAATAAACGACTGAAGAACAGAACAAGTATGACAAAGAGAAAGACGATGGACATGAAGGGAGTTAGGGAAATGACATGTAAGATCCTTGACAGTAAAGCTTATTACTTCTAATGGGACTCGTGCCTAAAACTTCCGTAAGTACACAGGGGAACTAGGTACTCCCCTCTAATGGTTGCTCATACACAGACTTTTCATTTGTGTGCAAAAGCAGCAAGAAGGATGCATTTCTCCCAGCTGTAAACCAGCATGGAGTAACACCCTAAACAGGATTTTACAGTTCTTAGCTAAAATTAATGAGCTAAAGCATGCTTACCTGCCGATGAATAATATCTAGGTTTTCTTTTGCTTTATTCACTAGTTTTTGTATTTCCGCTGAATCCTGTATATGTTTGTTTTCTCTGAAGGCATCTCTTATTCTTCTGATGGCATATGTTCTAAACGTTTTTAAAAGAGAGAGAGAGATTGTGTCCATAAATGTATTAATAATTGAACAGTTTTGGAGGATACAATTACTTACATGTTTATCTGCTTCAATTTTAAAAATATATATATATATTCTCTCTTTCTGTTCAGGTTAAATCTTATCCCATCACAAGAGACAGAGGGGTCTGGGTCTTTAACTGCAGAAGTCACTTTACTAGCACTCAGTGCAGGAACATTTTCCACTTAATATTTTAATTGACTTCACGTGTACATTGCATCTAACATGACACGAGACCACCACCACAAATTTATACCTGAGCCTACCCAGGATTGGAAAGTATGACTACACATAGGTGACACAAAGGAAACACAAACAGACTAAAAATAAAATCCTTTTCACACCCTGGGTGGAAAAGAAAACGGTAGCTTTAACGCTGGAAACAGAGTCAATAGTAATTCCAAGAGAAATACAGAAAGGCCTCCATGTCATTTATACTTCACCAAGTAAAACTACCCAGACAGGTCTCAATACACATAGTGCTGTTAAGCAGTATTATATTCTCCCTGGTTAATATTTTTTACACAAAGCTCTCCTTGCAGCAATAAGAGGGTCCACAAGAGAATACCAATCATTACTGGGCCTCCTGTTATTGCTGTTAAGACAGCAGTATTAAGAACAAACTTGAAGCAGCACAGCAAAACTACTACTGCTGGATGATAGCTCTAGATACGGCAAAGTTCAAGAACAGGAAAAGAAAAACAGATAAGCAAAATATCATCTACAAAATCAATTTGCAGCAGCGCACAGGATTCTTATTCCTAGCATCCCAAAGGCAACCAGGCACAACGCTAACCAGTGAGTAAGTTTCAGGTTAGTGTCTATTCTCAATTTTTTGCCAGCTTGCAAAGGTGAGTTGATAAATCAGATATTGAAAAAGGGGGGTTGTTTTTCTAAATGTACATTTTACTTTCTACTCCACATACAATGTCCTTATTTCCATGAACAGGTGAGAGAAAGAGCTTCCACCTTCAGGAAGCATCAGATAAAATGCCCAGGTTTTTTCTGAGTCTTTTACCCTACTTAAAAACTAAATACTTAATCTTTGCAAAGGGCACAATGAATCTCGCAACAGAATTCAGTATTAAAATGTAAAGACACTTCTAACTAACTATTAATGCCTTTCTTACAGGTTTGGTTACAAGAAGTACACTTGGTAATCCTATTCAACTATTTTTGTAATTTCACACGATTCTTTCCTATCACCATACCAGATGCCTCATACCCATACTGTTTACTTTACAAAGTATGAAACACTAACATGTTGAACAGAAAAAGAAAATGGTATATTTTGAACAGTTACTTTACAATATTCTATACAGACATAATGCTAGTTTTAGAATCTGAAATTTGATAATTATAAAAAAGCCAAAATGAAAAGACAACTCTATTAATAATGAACAGGAGATTCTTTGGAGAGAAAAATAATAGAGATTAACCACCTGCTTCCCTGCCATGCCATTAGATGGTGCTAACTAGCTCTTAACACAGCTTCCATGAACCAAATGACACATTTCTATATGAGCTCCTCATAAATAATACATTTTAATCACAGGACCCAGGATGGTTATGGAGTGCCACCCTGCTGCCACACACCAGCAGATGGTGTGTGCTTTTAATTAGGGCCTGTTCACCTATAATGTGACACGGGTGTGTGCGCGCTGTTAACAGAATTTATTAAATATGGAAGCTCATTCTTATCTGCAGCTGGGGTCCTAGCAAAGTGTTAAGGGGAGACTATTTACCTCTTCTGGAAAACATCATTAAGATTTAGCTTAATTTTGCAGTTTGATAGTAAACGGCTGGATTTTAAACCTACTGCCAGCATAGAGTACATGGCCACATCAAAGACATGCTGTTTCTTAGAGGAAAAAATAAATGGTTTGCAAAAGATATAAATGGATATCGAAGCTGCAGCTTAAAAAAATGATACCTGTTATTGGGTATGATTCTGTAAAACATACACAAAGATGAATAACAACTTGAATCAACTTAATGATTTTAAGGAGGCTAAACACAAGCTCATTTGGCAGAATAGGTCTAGCACTGGTTTTGTTCTTCTGCATGAATGGTGGATTCATTTTTATACCTTCTACCTTATTTCAGCAGAGTTGTTTGAAGAGAAAAGTCAGTGTGTTTAAAAAGTGGAATGATATTTATTGTGCAAATACCATGCATGGGCAAGAAATTATCCTATATTGGTAAGGATTTACTTAAACTTCAAAGGATTATCTGTAATCTATCATTTCCCTTCTCTAACTTCAGTAAGGTCTTATATCTGTGTTAACATTTATATTAAACACCAATCCCAAAAAGACTTAAGCACATGCTTAACCGTTAAAAGACAAGTAGCTCCAATGAATTAAATGGACTAATTACATACATAAACCCATGCTGAAGTCTCTGTAAAAACTCTACCCTAACCCAAATATGCAACACCTACCAGTAGAAAATATTATCAATGGCATAACTAGGGGAGGGTGATAAACTGGCACTGGGGGCAGTTGCCCCTTTCAGGGGAGGGGGGGAATCATGCCACTCAAAAAAAAAAAAAAAAAAGGCTGCCACATTCACAGCAGCAAATGCAAGTTGCTGCTGCTTCTTTACCCCAGGCACCTAGCTGTGTCACTACATTGCTGAGTATTATATCTCAGTGCCCTCTACAACTCTTTAGATTCACAGTTCTCTGGCAGGGTGAGGTAAAAAACACTGTACAGATACTAGGAAACAGAAGCTCAGAAGATGCAAGGGATTTGCCTACAGTCACATAAGTCTGTGACAAAACAACACGCAGAACCTAGGTCTCCTACCTAATGTCTAAACCCATACATTAAATATTAAAATAAACCTTTCTTCATGTAGGAAGGGAAAGGCAAAAAATATCTTAACCCCAATTCATTCAGATTTCGTCA